GTTCCCTAAATCATCTGTAAATGTGCGTGTACTAGACCTGCATGTCTGTGTGTAAGTCTAAGCACTTTGATAACAGTCTATCTGTTTTAAATTGTGCTCTATAAATAAATATGACTTGACTTGACTTAGTGACCTACTTTACCTGCTAATAGACTTTCTGAAACTTATAGTAACTCAGATGATAATTTGTGCTAAATACACTAAGAATACATTATTTTGGCCACGCCCGTTAGAGTAAAGTGCCATCTTTACCCCTTGAGACTATCTATCTATCTATCTGTCTGTCTGTCTGTCTGTCTGTCTGTCTGTCTGTCTGTCTGTCTGTCTGTCTGTCTGTCTGTCTGTCTGTCTGTCTGTCTGTCTGTCTATCTATCTATCTATCTATCTATCTATCTATCTACCTTTCTATCTATGTATCCATCCATCCATCCATCCATCCATCCATCCATCCATCCATCCATCCATCCATCCATCCATCCATCCATCCATCCATCCATCCATCTATCTATCTATCTATCTATCTATCTATCTATCTATCTATCTATCTATCTATCTATCTACCTTTCTATCTTTCTATCTATCTATGTATCCATCCATCTATCCATCCATCCATCCATCCATCCATCCATCTATCTATCTATCTATCTATCTATCTATCTATCTATCTATCTATCTATCTATCTATCTATCTATCTATCTATCTATCTATCTATCTTTCTATCTTTCTATCTATCTATGTATCCATCCATCTATCCATCTGTCCATCCATCCATCCATCCATCCATCCATCCATCTCAGGACATCCACTTATATTTAAAAAGAGTAGTACACTCGTATAGAAAGCTTTGAACATGCAGCGTTTATTCTTTACTATTAAAATTGACATCTACATCACTCTCATAATTTTAACCTTTATTTTTAGGATCCAATCTCTTGTCGAAACAATACAGAGGTTCATATTCAGGTACACCACAAACAAATAGAATATCGTGGAAAAGTTCAACATTTTTGTCAGTCACTTCAGAAAGTGAAACTCGTACATTAAATAGATTCATTACACACAGAGTGAAATATTTCAAGCCTTTATTTCTTGTAATTTTCATGATTATTGCTTACAGATAACAAAAACTCAAAACTCCGTGTCTCAAAAATGTAGAATATTGTGATAAAGTTTCATATTGGAAACTCATGTACAGATGAATCCTGGACATGAGCTACAAATGTCTCTTTCCTCAAATCCAGCCACTCCTGAATCAGAGACATCAGAAGCGTCTTACCTGCTGAGGAGACAAAGAACTGGACTGATGCTCAGTGGTCCAACATTCTCTTTTTGATTTAAGTAACATTTTCACTTCATTTGTAAATCAAGGTGCCAGAGTCTGGAGGAAGAGTGGAGAGGCCCAGAATCCACGTTGCTTGAGGTCCAGAGTGAAGTTTCCACAGTCAGTGATGGTTTGGGTCCATGTCCTCTGCCGGTGTTGGTCCACTGAGTTTTCTGAAGTCCTCAGCAAGTAAGACACTTCTGATGTTGTCTCTGGTTCAGGAGTGGCTGGACTTGAGGAATGAGACATTTTTAGCTCATGTCCAGGATTCATCTGTGCATGATGTGCATGAGTTTCAAACATGGAACTTTATCACAATATTCGAATATTCTGCGACATTGAGTTTTGAGTTTTTCATTATCTGTAAGAATAATCATCACAATTATAATAAAGTCTTGCAATATTTTCCTCTATGTGTAATGAATCTATTTAATGTATGAGTTTCACTTTCTGAAGTGACTGACAGAAAATATTGAACTGTTTCATGATATTCTCATTTTTTAGAAGCACCTGTAAGGGCAGCAGTTCTTTTCAATATTCACCTGTAACCTTGAATGGTTTCAGTCGTAACCATCTTTACATCATCTCTGATTTGTTTTCCTCTTACTGTATGCTAATTAGTTCTTATCCTACTTCAGCGTAAGCTGCGTGAAAGTAAACCCGGCTGCTTTGTGGCTCTCCGGGGGTGACAATATTGGCCCATCTGTCCAACATTTTTCTCCTGATTAAAATATGAAGACAATTTCCTGTTGGATTAACATGAACTTTGTTGTGTAATGTTCCATACCCGTTTAAATATAAGAACTTTAACATTTCGTTTTGCTTTAAATTCAGCGTCTAAAAGTCTCATTTTTTATGGAAAAACACCCACAGTTTCCAGGTCTCAGCAAAATCTGCTCTTCCTTCTTTCCACCCAGTTTTATCCTGAATTTTAACACGTCATTTAGTCACCTGCAAGAGAAATGAGCCCGTCTCCTGCAGCTGTAATTCAAAAAGCTGCAGCAGAGTCACACTTCACTAAGAAAGAGCTCATCGTGCTGCTCATATGCAAAGAAGGAGGAGGATATTCAGCAAGTAAATAACATATCTGCTTCAGCATCTTTTGACTTTTTAGGATCCATCCACCTGCTTCTCTGACAGGCAGACGTTTTTATTATTATCATTTTTTTTTTTTAATCTGAGCTCATCTTCAAATTTTAACATATTCAGGCTCATCTATCAATTTAACGGCTCCAGTTTGCTTTCAGATGAAAACACCTTTTAAAGCAGGTAAATAAATACTTTATTTTGTTTGATGCAGTATTTATTGGATACTTTTTTTTCTCCCACATTAAAAAATACTTGTGTCCTTGGCTGTTTCACACTGGGGCAGTAATGATGTGTATCACTGTGATTCTGTGTGGAACCAGTAGGCTGGAAAGCATGTTAGCAAGTAAATATGAAGGTTTCACGTCAGACACCATTTTTCAAATTAAAAGAATTAAGAAATTAACTCAACTGGGTTAGAAAATATATTTAGTAATGATTAACAATCACTGGAGATGATGTTCATGTACCAGCATCAAATTGACAAATTAGGAAATAATGTTAACTAGCTCTGTCTTGCTGTCATTTTATTTATTTTCTTATTTATTATTTTCCCACTTAACAGATAAAAAAATAGTTTGACAGGCTGAATTGTGCTCAAGCTAAGAAGAAAGTTGGTTTAGTTTTTTTCCTCAGAAACCTTCAGTTAAAATCACTCTGTGTGTGTGAGCCTTGCAGGCATCTTGTGACGCTGTTTGGAGAATCACACGCTCTTTTCACTGGCTGTGAGCAGGTGGGATTATGGCCTTGATGGGTGAATAAATCAGTGGTGAAACTGAAAATAATTTTAAAAAACGTGTGGAATGAAGTTCAAATGAACTACATTCGGTAAGTATTTGATTCTCCATCATTTACTGAAGAATGATGGTTAACAAATATTTGGAGAAAATGAGTGAGTCTGTTAATCTTGTTGATTTTATTTATTTATGTATAAAAAGCTGATGTGAGGCAGCAGAGGTCAAAGAATTGCAAATGACACTGAAGTCCTAGAAGTTATCAGTGTTGTGATTAGTCAAAGCCACACGGCCCCAGAGAAGCCTGCTTGGAGTCAGAATGACCAGCAATATGAAATCATGCTCATCTGTGATGAAAATGTCAATAATCTGCTTATGGGGTGAGGTTTGGAAAGTTACATGGTCAAAAATTATAAATACGCCGTAAAGGACGTTCTTTTTCTTCTTTGTTGTTTTACGACAGATTGCATCCACTCTGTTGCATCACCGCCTCCTTGAGACCGAACCCCATGCCTACATTTCTGTAAAGGAAGTTTCAGTGACGTGAAACGTAAATCTGTCAATCTGAGTTTGATTACTCCGTAGCTTTTTCAAGAACCTAATGTGTGACAAAAAAACGAATTTTGGAAATGAAATTGAATTATAGAACTGACAATGAATGTAGTCGAACTGAATTTTCAATACAGTTAAATTCAGTTTCAAACCATTGAATTCAGTTTAAATTTAGTGAAATTAATTTTCAAACAAATGGATTTAATTTCAAATTATGCAAACACAGATTCAGCCTGAGCGATTCAAATTCAGTTTCAGATGGCACAAGTTTCTGCCCCTACATCAACTCTTACAATACCCCAAAATGTTCAGAGATTTGTCAAAACTGAAATTACCAATGCGTGCAAAAGTACAGAAATGCAAGAATTGGACACTTTCAACCAAAAACAATGTTGGATCCAGTAATGGTAAATGGTAAATGGACTGTATATAGCGCCTTTCTATCTGATCAAGATACTCAAAGCACTTTATACAACAATCTGTGCCCTCATTTACTCATTCATACAGCACGCCACTAGAGCTCTACAAAGACTAATCAGTGCTTTATCACATTCATACACCAGTGGGACACACATCAGAGGCAGTGAGGGGTTCAGTGTCTTGCCCAGGGACACCTCGGCATGTGACTGCTGGTGGAATCAAACCCCCAACTCTTGCATTGGAGGATGACTGCTCTAACCACTCAGCCACAGCTGCCCCAGTAATGGGTTCATAGTCTGCTATATGTAAACTAATTATGTTCCTTAAACTTACATATTAAACAGTTTAACACTGGTACACAAATGGCAACCATGGATCATATTTCCATCACACAGGAGTATCAGCCACTTTTAAAATCAAAATATCTACAACACTGTGTCAGATGAATATTTTAACACTCATTATTTTATAATGAACATCAAACAGTTCAGCTCTGATGGCTAATTTTAGCTATTCTGAAAATAAAACCAAGGTGACTTAGTCTTTGTGCTGCCTCATCACAGGCAATCACGCCAACAAAGGCGGCTCAAACGTTGACAAAATGTGTGAGAATGATGCCTTCCATCACTTCAGGGTAAAAATCACATCACACAGCTGTGGCTTACGGCTCTCTAAATCAACATGCTATGACATATTTGTGACACACTGGCTTAGTTGGACGTTCCATCACTTGTGTTTACTGTTTACTGTCATCTTGTTTTTCCCTGAAAGGACTGGAGGAATTATCCTCTCTACTTTCTGGTGTTCATCTTTCATTAAACATGACAACCCCCCGTGTGTTTTGCACAAACATGGACTCAGAGGCAAACGCACAAAGACTTCTAACCTGCTCTTTGACGGAGGCGAGGATGGCAGAGGTGGTTTCAGACTCTGAACCGTCTCCATTGGAGGTATTGAGGACGGGGCTCAACATGGTGGCGGTGCTGGAACTGTCAGACGCCACCTCAGGCACTGGCATACCTCCTGGAAAACAAGAAACAACAAACACTTTAATATAATTAAAGTCACTGATAGGCCAGCTTTTAAAATCATTATTCAAACAGATGAGTTGCCCACCCTCCCACCTCCTTAAACCAGAAGAAGTGAGCACAGAAAATAGATTGAGGTTTTATTCTGATAAACTTGACTGTTGAGTATATTTATAATCTCTATGATGTAGGCAAGTTAAGAATATTTTAAATGATTTATAAGTCATTGTGTAAACATTAGCAACTTGCTGCTTGACACCAAAAAGACCAAAGAACTAATCGTGGACTTCAGGAAAACGCTCTGACACTCATTTACCCATCCACATCAACAATGCAGTGGAGTGTGTCCAGCTTCAAATTCCTGGAAATTCACATCTCAGAGGACCTCACCTGGACGACTACCTGCTCCTATCTGATCAAAAGGCTCACCATCACCTCTTTTTATGAAGACTCTGACAAAAGAAGCATCTCTCCTCTGATATCCTGCATAAACTTCTACTGCAGCACCATCTGAGGCTTCCTAACTGACTGTTTTACAACCTGGTATTGGTATTGCTGTGTGGCAAATCGGAATGCATTGATGAAGCTGGCGAAACTGCCCAGTGCATCAATGGAGCCTCACTTCCAGCCATTAAGGACATCTACAAGAAGCTCAGTCTCAGAAGAGCAATGAACATAATAAATAACACCTGCCATGAGCACACAGACTGTTTCAGGACAGCTTTGCCCTACAGCATCCTTCCTGCTGATCTCTGTCCCTCAATGCCCTACTCCCTCATATGTGCTCAACAACCCCTCTGGTCTGAATTTCTATCAAATGCTCTGCCACTGATGGCATTGACATCATTGTGCTATTAATGGTTTTCTTCTGTTTTATCAGTTAGGAAAACCATGTACTGGGGTAATTGTATTCTGTGTAGACCTTCAGTCATTCACCTTGCATAATGTATTTATTCAGTCTATAACCTGTAACCATAACTGTACACACACACACACA